GCCTATCACAGGGTGCAAACTGCAGTATCCACAGGGGCCAGGCAGGGACTCTCACCGAGAGGGACAACTGGGTGGGTGGGGACAGTGGCCATTCCGAGGCCATATGCTCTATCCAAAAGTGGCAGCTGCTGCGTTCCAGCCAAGAGGGAACGTGGGCCCAGTGTGGCCCAAGCTTCTGATTTTTCTCAATGAAAAGCTGGCAATTTGGCTTTTTATATGAATTCGTTTTTTAAATGTTGGCAAATAATTCCATTTTTGTGAGCCAAACATGACCGGTCTGATGGCCAGAGCAGCAGGTTGGGCCTGGCATGCTTCCTACCAGGCCTTCTCCTCACCCAGGCAAGGATGTTCACATTACATGCATGTATGGGGCAGTATGGCTGCCGTCTAGCTTTAGAATAATGGAGTCCTCTCTGCACAAGAGCAACTTGCCTTTCTCACGTCATAATATTTCACAGACAACCTTCCAGGCCAGCATTGCTATATCTACCTCCTTCTTTTTAAGAGCTAAATAATAGTGCATAGTGTGGATGCAGTGTATTGGAGACAAACATCCCCTACTGTTGAGCTTTTGGGTGTTTTCAGGTTCCTGCCACCCCAGACAATGCCACAGTGAACATCTCTCTGCATATAATTGTTGGGACTTTGATGGCTCTTGAACTTGGTTCTCTATCAGTGGGATTACTGGGTTAATTAAATACAACACAGAGCATGTATGTAAACTTTCGTTCAACATTGCCATTGGAATTAAGTACAACGCAGAGCATGTATGGAAACTTTCATTCAACATTGCCTTCTGGAAAGGTTCTGGCAGTTCCCACGCCTTCCAGCAGGGGATGAGAGGGCCTCCACTCCCACTTGGAAAGGATTCCTCTTTTAAATGGCTGCCAATCAGATGCATGAAAAATGGTTTAATTTGCATTTCCCTAACTACTAGTGAGGTTGAGCGTGATGCCTTTTTCTAAATGAGCAAACCACTTCCCATCTGTTATCTTGCGTTATCCTATCATACCCTGCAAAGCAGCTAGCCATCATCGCTGGTGTTATCCCTGATTTACAAGTGGAGAAACCGAGGCACAGAGCAATTAAGTGATAATCTGACATCTCATGGTGAGTGAGTGTCTTTAAAAAAAAATCTCCAGCCCTCTGCCTTTCCAAACCAGATGTTAGGAGAATTAAACAACATCTGCTAAGAACATCACAAATCGCTGGGTAGTGCACACCATTCTGCTGGGTATCGCAGGAAGTTTGCAGTAGAAGGGAGGGAGGGAGGGAACACTTATTAGAAAATACCCACAGGCCAGGGACTTTCACAGGTATCATTTTTATTCAATCCTCCAAAATCTCCCTATGACTTAGATATTATTGTGTCCATTTTACATGAAGAAATTAAGGCTCAGAGAGGCCATTCTAGATTTAGAACTGAGTCCCACACTATTTCCATCACACCATTCTGGATCCTTGCTGCCATTCCCTAATCTAGAAACAGGGAAGGCACAGCCCCTCCCTCAAGTAGCACAATCCACACACACAACACAGTCCACACAGGGTGAACGCATGCCCAGAAGGGAGTAGGCACGCATAACACACACATGCATCCTGCATCTTTTCTCACAATGCTGGCTCAAGCTCTGACACTGCTGGGCACACTGGGCCCCCAACCTCTCTCCTTTCCCCTTCATAGGCAGTCACACCGCTTTGGTGCTCCCCCATCTGTCAGTCCCAGGCAGCCAAACACAGTCCTAACTTCGCAGGGGCCACCTCCAGAGCGTCCAGAAGCTGGGACGACCTTCCGTCCGTCCAGACTCTGCATCACTCACCTCGGGGTGAGGTGGCACAGGCTTCCAAGGCTGAAGCAAAACAGCCAGGCCAAAGTGGGTGCATCCTGCTGCTGGGTTTCCCCCCAGATCCCAGACTTTGTTTTTCCTCTGGCCCATTTGGCTAAGAGAAGGAAAGCGAGGCCCAGAGAGAGCAGAGGCTAATGACAGTGGGAAGAGGACCCTGGCCCCCACCTCCGGCCGGGCCATTGTGAAGGATGCTGCCTGTGGCTACCGGCATTCCCGTGGCTGCAGCAAGTGGCACTGGGTCTCCCGGAGGTACATCAGCTCTTTCCCCAGCTTCCTGGCCCTCCTGGCTTCCTGCCCAGCAGGCTGCATGGCCTACTCCACCATGTGAGGTTGCACACCCTCAGGACGGGGCCTGAGCGCCCACTGACCCTCACCTGTCCCCAGTGGACTAGGAAACAGACACACACCCATCCGAGCTGGGTTTCCTGCCTGGGCCTTAGACAAGTGGCAGACACCTGCCCCAGAATTATGAGCAGCTTCATAGCCAGCTGTCCCCAAATCTTTCAGGGGCCTAGCTTAGAGCCTATTCTTGCAGGAAGCCTTCCGGAAATCTCTCAAACATACCCAATGCCAAGAAGACAAAGCCAGGCCCCCAAGGCCTCAGGCTGCCAATTCCTAATATCCTTCTGCATGCCAAGCCCCGTGAGAGACACTGTGGATATGGGG